CAGTGGTCGGAGAAGTGGCAGATGCAGTTTAATATAGACAAATGCAAAGTTCTAAATGTTGGACAGGACAATAACCATGCCACATATAAACTAAATAATGTAGATCTTAATATTACGGATTGCGAAAAAAGACTTAGGAGTTCTGGTTAGCAGTAATCTGAAACCAAGACAACAGTGCATAAGTGTTCGCATAAAGCTAATAGAATCCTTGGCTCATATCAAGAAGCATAAATAATAGGAGTCCTCAGGTTGTTCTTCAACTCTATACATCCTTGGTTAGGCCTCATTTAGATTATGCTGCACAGTTTTGGTCACCGTATTACAGAATGGATATAAATTCTCTGGAAAATGTACAAAGGAGGATGACAAAGATGATCCCATGTATCAGAAACCTTCCCTATGAAGATAGACTAAGGGCCCTGAAACTGCACTCTCTAGAAAGACGTAGAATTAGGGGGGATATGATTGAGGTTTATAAGTGGAAGACAGGAATAAATAAAGGGGATGTAAATGGTGCTGAAAATATCTAGCCTAGACAGTGACTCGCAGCAATGGTTTTAAGTTGGAAAAATTCAGATTCAGGAGGGATATAGGAAAGTACTGGTTTGGTAATAGAGTTGTGGATGAGTGGAACAAACCCCAAGTACCGTTATAGAGGCCAGAACGTTGTGTAGCTTTAAAAATAGGTTGGATAAATACATGAGTAGATGTGGGTGGGTGTGAGTTGGACCTGATAGCTTGTGCTAACAGGTCGGTTGCCGTGTTCCTCCCTTAAGTCAATGTGACCTGACCTGACTAGGTTGGGTGCATTGGCTTAAGCCGGTAGGGACTTGGACCTGCCTCGCATGGGCCAGTAGGCCTTCTGCAGTGTTCCTTCGTTCTTATGTTCTTCTTATGTTCTTATATATAGCTCTGTCACTGTAACTACACAGCTTTGTCAGTGTTACTACACAGAGCTCCGTCAGTGTTACTACACATAGCTCTGTCAGTGTTACTACACATAGCTTTGTCAGTGTTACTACACATAGCTCTGTCAGTGTAACTACACAGCTGTCATTGTTACTACACATAGCTGTCAGTGTTACTACACATAGCTCTGTCAGCGTAACTACACATAGCTGTCAGTGTTACTACAAATAGCTCTTTCAGTGTTACTAATGACATGTAATCACTAAAAATATCCGTTCAGGTAACTAGTAACAGAGACTGGTGGATGTAAAAACAGGTAACTAGTAACGGAGACGAGTGCATGTAAAAACAGGTAACTAGTAACGGAGACGTGTGCATGTAAAAACAGATAACTAGTAACGGAGACGAGTGCATGTAAAAACAGGTAACTAGTAACGGAGACGTGTGCATGTAAAAACAGGTAACTAGTAACGGAGACGAGTGCATGTAAAAACAGGTAACTAATAACGGAGACGTGTGCATGTAAAAACAGGTAACTAGTAACGGAGACGAGTGCATGTAAAAACAGGTAACTAGTAACGGAGACGAGTGCATGTAAAAAACAGGTAACTAAATAACGGAGACGAGTGCATGTAAAAACAGATAACTAGTAACGGAGACGAGTGCATGTAAAAACAGATAACTAGTAACGGAGACGAGTGCATGTAAAAACAGGTAACTAGTAACGGAGACGGGTACAGTAATAACATGAATAACATTAGCACGTCTTAAGATAACCACAAAATATATTAACGAACATATGATAACGAGGGTATTTTTCATCTTAACACCCAAATTCATATCTGCTGCCGGAGTATCGAGCCTACAGACACAGACGCTAGGAGATAAGTAAGACACATGTGCAGCAGTTAGTTATCTTTATTCCGAAACGTTTCGCCTACACAGTAGGCTTCTTCAGTCGAATACCGAGGAGACAGCGGAAGCAATAGAAAGGCAAAGCCGTTATCAGTCACCTTCGATGACCTAGTCCTGCTCCATAGACGGAAATAATATGAAGCTTCTGCTGCCTCCTCTGTATTCGACTTCAGAAGCCTACTGTGTAGGCGAAACTTTTCGGAATAAAGATACCTAACTGTTGCACATGTGTCTTACCTATGAACTTGTCGGTATTGTATACCATTATCATATTCACATATACCGGGTGGTGAAGAGTGAGAAGCCCTCAAAACCAGTCTGAGGTATATCAGAAGTTTGCAACTCCGTGGATTCCCGGGTTGAGAAATGTACCATGAGAATCACGAGCAGACTCACCGTCCCTTCATTACCGAGAGATGATGCAGAGATGATACAATAACCTCTCACGAAGTCATTAGGAGATGATATAAACACGAGACGACCATTTTTTGTTTTGTTTTGTAATTACCAGAAAGGGAAAGAGGAGGACGTACTCTTAAGGTCGCGGAAGAAGAGGTGTAGAAGAGACCGCAGGAAGTATCCCCTTGCCATGAGTACCACGGGTGCGTGGTGATGTACTCCAGGAGGTCGTGAGTACAACTAGTGCACCGAGGTTTAAAGCTGATTAATTATTCAA